AGATTGAGAAGTTGCTTTGGTGAGCATGCAAATATGGGACTTTTTAGTTAGGTATAAGGAGCCAAAGATCTGGAAGCTTTGTTGCCTGTAATGTGTTTTCACTTTTCATTTCTTTTTGTGACAGGTGGTAAAGGTTCCCATAATGGAATGTTCCCTGTACTTGGACTGTGAATCCTGTCTGGCACTGAAAGATCCCTACTGTGGCTGGTGTGTCCTTCAGGGACGGTAAGATAGATCCCTGTTCACCTGCAAGGATTTTAGAGAGATAGTGCTTAGGGATTGTCTCTGCTTCCTCTTTTCTTATATCTCTGTCTGGATTTAGTTTATTTTTAGTTCCTTTGTGGGATATTCACTCTAACTTACCATTCCTCTTTCTGCCTCCCTAAAAGGGCATCTTTTCGTTGCTTTTTGGGTCTTTGCTCACCACTCACGATTCTCCTGTCCAGTGGAATTCAGCCTGGCTTTAGTCTGGCTGCAGCTCAAACTGCCTCATTTCAAATGTAAAGAAACTATCTTGTCTCTTCTTCTGGTGTCACTCTCTTATTTATCAATCTTTCACTTCTTGCTCCCCTACTGATGTTGCTTAATGAGACATTGTTTATTCCAGTGTGTGTGTGTCTGCTTGCTGGCTCTGTTCCCCTGTAGAAAACCAGAGGAACTAGTTCATGACCCTTGAAGCTCCAGAAGTGCCTACCCATCTATATTTTGGCAACAGTTCATCCTATTATTGAAAGTGGTGGGAAGCTGGGACTTCTGTGGCTTGTGTAGCAGCTTCCCCAAGACTCTAGCAAGGCTTAAGACAGTCAGTGTCCCCTTGGAAGCCAAACCCCTCCTGCTGCACAGATGTCTCACAGGGCTTCTTGCTGTTTCCCTGCAGGTGCAGCCGTCGCTCCGAGTGCTTGCGGTCCAGGTTGAGTGAGCAGTGGCTCTGGAGCTTTAACTCTACCCAGCAGTGTCTGTCTGTCCAGTCACTAACTCCAGCCAATATCAGCAGGGAGGAAAAGAGAAATGTGAGTGGTGATGATCCTCTGATGATGCTCAAGCTGTAGAGAGTCCCCTGTAGACTGAGAAGTCACAAGTCTTTCTGTGTCTTTCTGTGGGGTATTGAACCACTGAACCTTCAAGCATGTTCTTTGCTTACATGAGGGACTTATCTCCTGGTACTGCCAAGTTGTTCATTTGTTTGGGGTTTTTTTCCCATAATACTAAATGTCCTTGCCTGCTAAGAGTTACCTGGTATTTTGGAGTATGTGATGGCTGCTTGGGTGCGATCCCTCCTCATTTTAGTATCTATAGGGTGCCAGTGTCTCTGCTTTCAATGTTTGTTCCTGACACTTGCTGTCAGGAAGATCTGAAAGGAGTTACCCAAAATTACATCTCCAGTCTGGCATGTGAGAGCTGGCAGAAAAGCTAAGAAGGTGCTGGAGTGATTTGAAGTCTGTCATTGTGTCAGGAAGTGGCAAGAACCTGTCTTTTGCTAGAGGCTGGGGCAAAGGGGGAAGTTGTCAGTTACTGGAGAAATGCCAAGTTCAGTTTGGGAATGGCAAGAGATGATGAATGGAACAGTCGGTCCTAAGAGACATTATAGGAAAATGAGTGTATGTGTAGATAACTACTTTATGAGGTTCTTCCTTTGAAAAAGCAGAACCAGAAAATTAGATGAAATGAGGGCAAATTATTAGAGGGCAAATTATTTACTGGATAATATTGAATTGGCAGATATTCTTGGCCATCTTGGATTTACCTTCTCTGCGTGAGGAAGAATTTTACTCGTGTTACTTTGAAGATTATGAAAGCCCAGCAGTTCTGACAGAGTCAGGAATCATGTGTCCTTCTCCAGATCCCAGCCAAGCACCAGCTTTGCCAACAGGAAAAGGTTAGTGAAATGCTTTAAATGGAGCATGATAGCTCTGATAACATTGTTGGGAGAAAGTACATTGTAGGTCCATTAGATTGCCAGGATTAACAGCCATGAGCGTATGTGGACTGTCAGCAGGTGTTCATTTCATTCCTCATAATATCTGTTTACTTTCTGCTTGTGTGTCACACACATCCTGTGCTATTTTGGGCTGTTGCCAAATTCCAATGCCAAATTCTGATAGTTGGAAAAGAGATCCTGTTTGAAGGGTTGTATGCAAATCTGAGTGTTATTTGAAATGCAGTCTCGAGGGGTGACTGGTTTGGCAGCTTTGTCATAAATCAGGAGAGAGAACTCTCTTCAATAATGCTGTATTATTTAAAGCAAACAAAATGCAAACCTTCTCAAAATCCATGTAGTGGGAGAAGGAAATACATGTAAGGAAAGGCAAGAAGAGACCCACAGTCCTTAAAGTTAGAAATAAAGCTGCAGTGCGGCATAACCTCAGAAGATACTTAGTCAGCCTGTGAACAATAGCTGGCTGAGTATTGCTGATTGGCCACTCTAAAGGACCTGGAAAGTTCTCAGTTTATCTTCTTCTCATTGGATTTTACCCAGCCTGTCAGTGTGAGCTCTGATGAGCTGATCTCTTCAAAGAGCTTGTTCATCTGATGTAAAAGGCAGATGCCAGTTGGGAAACGTTCCACACAATTCACCTAAAGGGCTGAACGGATTTTCCAAGCAAGTATGCAGCTGGCTAATAGGTCTGAAGCAATCTCCATGGACATAACATGACAGCTAACACACTCATTCAATCTCAAACTCCTACATTTTCAATATTATTTACCGTATTATAATATCTGGCTTTCACACTACTGTAGCCTGGAAGAAAACAACCAGGGTGGTCAGAAACAGAGGGAAAGGGCCTCATGGACTGCCACTGCAGGCAGAGTGGGCAGGATTGGCTTCCCTGTTTAGCTGTGCAAATGTGGGCCTGAATTTAAACAGAGTTGTGAAAATCAGTGTAGTTAAAACCACAGTCTAGTTCTCATTATTCCGGGGTTCAGATATTCTTATCAACTCCTTTGTAAGTCAGTCTTGCTTTTAATCCAAGATGCTTTACCTACATTATTTTCATATTGCATCTCTGAGGCTTATCCAGCGGCTCCTGTTCTGTGGCCTAAACCTGCTCGTGGATGGTTTCTGTCTATTTGATCTATTTGTGTTGTCCTTTTGCTTCCGCAGCTCTTCTCCCACTTGATGGACGGGCATTCCTAGCGTAGAATTTTGCCATGTTAACTGTGCCAACTCTTCTTCTGTTCCTTAGACTTCCTCTCTAGTTCACTCTACTGCTAGTCCTTCTTTGTACAGCGTCTGTACTCTGCTAAGATGAATTTGAAGCTGGTAACTAGATTCATACATTGCTTTTTATGTGAGATGTCATCAGGGCCTTAGATACCAGCACTTTCCTGTTCCTACTTATAATACTTTCCCCAGCACACTAAAGTATTTGCCTTTTTCCAGCTTTCTTTTAAAGGTTGCATACCAGCTTATCTGTGCTACCAGCTTGGGGCTCAACAGCTACAAGTGACAAACTTTTACTCTCAATTTGCAAGTGCTCGACCTCATCTTCTGTACTGTCAAACAGCATTATTGGCATCATGGGAAATAATGGCCTCTTTGAAGAAAGGAATATTTATAAATATGGTGTCATAACCCTGAAATGCTGGGAGGTGTTATCCCTTCCAACACTGCCAAATGCAATCACCTCTATGACAGTGATAGGAGTTGGCAGTACTGCGGTGACTCCAGCCTCCAGCCGCATAGGATACCCTTATTTTCTCCTAATCATAGGTTTCCATACACCCCTAATTACTAACTGATTGATTAGCATACTGCTTGACTTGTTGTCCTCTCAGGAACCCAGCTTAGGCCTGACTGATTCTTCACATGTTAATTGTTTTGCTGTGACTAGAGCTTGCTTGCAAGAGGAGCTCTGAATTCTCAGTCTGAGAGGAACAGTGGACAAGGTTCTTGTTACTTATTTTTGTAGCCAACTGCCTTTGAGAAATGACAGCTCCTGGACTGGAGCAGTTCTCCATTATTTGAAGAACTAATAACCAACTCTGAGGTTAGAGGCATTTGTCTAGAACAAGATTAATTATCTGATTTAGTACTGTCATATGCAAAATATCTCCTTTAGGCTGATGCTATCAGCTGCAGCAAGTTTTGACCATCTCTGCAGCTGTTTGGTCTACAGAAAACAGTGACAGTCTTTTCCCAAAGAAAACAGGGCTATCCTGAGGCTTGTAGTTGACGTGAGATCTGGATTGAAAGCAGATAAGCCTTCAGTCATTGCAGCTGAGATTACAAGTCTCTTATAAACTTCTTCACTGACTCAGTTCTCAGTCTGGTTGTAGAACAAAGCTCTCAAGGTGAAGGCAGTATGTGAAGGGCCATGTCCATTCTAAGGGTTTCATTTTCCTTTGGATGACAAAGAAAGACAATCAGCTTTGAGCCTCAGTGTTACATCTTCCTCTAATACAGAGATGGCAGTGGAATTATAAAGACTGAGGGATCTTCCTCAAAAGACTAGGCTTCCTTCCCATGGGTTGGCAAGAGCTGTCACAAACTACACCTGACAGACTTGTCCAGCCTGTTTTTAGTGTCTGTAGGATAATCCAGTGATTGAGATGCTGGAAGCATGGAAGGGGATCTGTCTCTGTGTTTGACAGTGTCTCTCCTAAAGCATGCTGTATCTCCTAACAGTATGGCAAACTATTATAGGGGCTCCATTTCTAAGAAATTTTTATTTTCATTTTCAGATCATGTCACCATAAAGCTCGTAGTGCGTTTCCATGACATCTTCATTGCTTCTGTGGACTTCTCTTTCTATGACTGTGCTGCAGTGGCCCTGCTGTGGAAATCGGCACCGTGAGAACCTGCTTTTTCTGTTCTGTAGTTCTAGTGAGGGTGGCTGTACCTTCCTGGGTCGTCTTTTCTTAGCAGCTGCTTTTCTGTCATTGTCCCAGGTGTCAGAAGTGTGTGAGCAGTCTCTGGGGATGTAACTGGTGCATCCAGCAGCACCTCTGCACCCACAAAGCAGCCTGTGAGGAGGGAACCATTATCTACAATGAAAGGGTATGTCTCCTGCTCAGTCCTAGTCCTGTGTGCTGTAACAGCCTCAGTGAGTCAGATCTCTTCTCAGGTAAAATAGCAGCTGTCAGTAACATCAAGCAAGGAGGTGAGCAAGGAGGAGCTCCCCTTGGAGTGACACGAGGCTCTGCATCCCTGATACTACAGATTTCTGGGGAAATGCCATCAGCTGAAGCAGGTCACACTTATCCTGGGGCTATCCAGCCTGTGTTTTCAAAGTGAGGGACAAGAGCAAGCTGACCGGGAGGCTGCAAGTGGGGAGGTGGAACAGATGCCATTTTTGGCTGCCACAGGTGGCCTTGCAGTTTTGCGGGGGATGAAGACTGGCAGACCTCCCTCTGAGAGGAGGTGAGAGCAGGCACCCGTGGGAAGAGGGAATGTTGCTGGATTTTCTGCACTGTGAGCATTCCCCAGCCCCATCCCAAGAAGACAGCATAAGATACAGCTCTCATTAAAATCCAGAGGGTGAAGCAGCTTCTTGCCTATGAGAAGTGATACAGAGTGTTTCTCTGCTTGGGTTTTATTGTTTCATTTCTTTCCCTCTTCTCCCCCCACCATGTTGTTTTTCTCTAGGCCCAGATTCCATCCTCAAGTGTGTATCCTTCTTCAGCCGCTCCCCTCACCAAGTCTTCTACCACAGCCCCAACCATGGCCACAAAACCCGTCACTACCCCTGTGCATGTGGGACCAAGCACTGAGGCCCCCACAGAGCCCATCCACATCACACCCTCTGCAGCCCCAGATCCGATGACTGAGCCTGTGGAAACCCTCAGCTACACGTACCTGACTCTGTCGACCGAAGCCGCCCCTCTCCAGGCCGCCACAGAATCCCCGCTCCCACCACCAGCAGACAAACCTGCTGTCACTGTGCCAGAGACAACCTCTCCCGCTGCATCTGTCCTCACCAGCCCATCCAAAAATGTGGATCACGCAGCCCTGCCCACTGAAGGGCCAGCCACAGCCCAGGAGCCACGGCACACCGACCCACCCACCACCCCCGTGGGTAGCCCCCTGCACACGTCTGCAGCTGCAGTAACACCTTCCTCTCCTGTCACCAGTTTCAAGTGGGCTCCAAGTCCTTTTCCTACCACAGAAGCACTGACATTTGCCATCCCATCTCCCCAGACCCCCAGCCAGGTGCCAGGGAGCCCTGTTGCCTCTGATGACTCTCCTGGATTGCTGGGAACTGAACTATCTGCTTCAGAGCTCCCACCATCAGCTCCCCCGGAGTGGCTGCTGGAGGAAGGCACAGAACTCCAGGACACAGAGGACTGGATGGATTTGCTGCAGGCTGAGAATGACACATCTCTCTTCTCTGCTTCTACTCTTCTGTCGGGTGATGGCGATTCTTCAGAGAGGGATGTCCCTGACTTTCCTCGGATCCTTCACCCTGACCTTGATTATCAGTATGATGCCCCTGAGTTTTGGGAGGAGGTAAGTTACCGGGCTTTGGAATTCATAGACTAAGGCTTGTAACTCTTTGATATTTTCATGCAGATTGCCAGTCTAGTATTTCAGCACTCAGGAGAGGTTCTGCCCTGTGTTTTTTTCAGAATGAAGAGCCTAGCTGGGGTCCAGATGCATGTCCCTGTGTGCAGGGAATCCAGGGATCTTCACTGTTTCCAGTCAACGTGGCGAGGAAGATAACTCTGCTGGGAAAGAACTTCCACCTCTATCAGGTAGTCAGCTCAACACCATCACCTTTGAGAAACTGTATTATTACAGGGCACTGTTTGGGCAACCTGGCCACTGAACTGCTGAAAATATGTGTAAGACACAGTTGTGGCTTTGCCTAGGTTTCTCCTAGAGGAATGACCTACTTCTGTGCATAAAGAATTCCATAGCTGGATTTATTGGTGGGTAGAAAGTCACACAGAAAAAGGGAGAATACAGGTGTGCACCAACCTACTGGAGAAGATCTGCATGCGTTTGGATTAAATTGCACCTGTGCTGCACTGCAGATGCTAGTTTTTGGAATAACTTCCTGCTCAATCCCTGCTGATTGTTTGTGTCTCCATAAACTAAAGATAAGTCATCTGTTCCCTTTCCTTTCTGGCATGCTCAAGTTAATGTGGCTATTCCTGTCATACCTGAAACTTCTGCAGTGGGGAAAACCACCCTTGACAGCTGTTTCTTGGGTGTGGCTTTGATAAAAATTCTCTTTGCTTCTCAAGACGGAAGATGATTTAGTAACCTTTTACAAACAACTGCCTCGGAACATGCAGCCCACAGTCTGATTGTTACTTTATACGTTAAACCTGACATACTGCACTGCTCAGAGTAGCAGAGCTGGTTACAGATAGATGCATATCCATTGTTTTTACAAGAAGTATCTAAGCAATTCAGTGGTAGGTTTTCAGGAAAGAGAGAGAGAGAGGAAAAAAGACACTTAGTGTTTTTCACATGCTCTGCCCTAATCTGTGTACTCCACTCTTCACTTCCAAGCTGGTGTTTTACAGAGACAAACAAGCATAACTTCACAGTCCCACTGGTTTTCCTTTAATTCCCTCCTTTGTGCTGAATTCTCCCCACACTGACGCATGTTCTCCCTTCTAGGTGTTTTGTTTTGTGTTGGTTTACCTTTCATACATGGAGGCAGTGATAGCATAGAGAAGCCTTGAATGTAGTGTAGAGTTGGCATAACGAAGGGAATGGGAGGAGCACACTGCTGGCACAGTAGGTGGCTTGGTAAAAGGTACTGAACTGGAGAGGCAGGACGACACTTGTGCAGCCTGAAGCTGTGTCATGGAGAAGTGGTGCCATGTGTCTCTTCTCTGCAGGACCAGCAGTGGGACTATGAGTGTGTCCTGAATGTGGAGGGGAGGACAGTGGTGATGGATGCTTATGTGGAAGGAGATGAAACAAACCGGTCTCTCTGTTATATCACCTGCCAGATGAACCAGGTGAGTGCTCGGATTACTGTGCCATTTCAGAATTCACACTGGTGCTGGTTTTGCTCAGCAGGCTGGAAGGCAAGCTCTGGGGAAAAGAGCATGTTTTGCAAAAATATCTGTAGGATATTTAGCACTATGGGGCCCTCATCTGTGATGCTGCTGCCCAGCAGTATTGGTATCTTCAACTTGCAGGAAGGTTGTGCAGTCTGAGCCACACAACCTGTTGGTGCCTTGGCTGTAGCAGGGGATGATGCTGTCTCTGAACTGGCCAGCGCAGTGCTTCTCCTGCTTTAGCTTGAGGCACTGTTGTTTGTCATTCTCTGGATTGTGACTTCTGTGATGGTTGTTCTGCTGTGAAAAGAAAACTGCTGTCAATGCCAATGTTCTTCCTTGGCAGTAGAAGCTAGCCTGTGGATTGTAAGATTACCGGCAAAATTAAAACAGCCATGTACATTTCTGGATGATGTGTGAATTTTGCTTAAGGCAAGATTTGCAAGCAGAGGTGATATTTTTAGTTCACAAGCTCATGTAGTTAAAGGAGAAGAACAACTTAGGCTCTTGTGCACATGAGCCCTACAGACCAATTGTAATCTTACATCTTTAGCTCTACTGAAATGGCATAAATGCCAGCTTGAGCAATTTTCTGAGCAAGTGGCTTGTAGATAGGAATACACCATTTAGGAATGCAGTTAGGAAGTTTGACAAGTATTGTTGTGAGCACACATTTGTTTTCAGCGTTCATCCTAGTGAACCAAAGCCTGCTGCTTTTTCTAGAGCAGAATTGTGGCTCTAGGAATCAGTGAGGACAGGCCTGTGCTGCCACTGCCCCAGCTAACACTGCCTTGTCTGCATGCATGGGAAGCTCTGTGTAGGCTGTATGTGCCATGCACTCTGCAGGGCAGATGCTGATGCTTTTTGCCTGTTCAGCTGTTTTGTTGTGCCTCTGTTAAATCCTCTTGATGGTCTTTGTCTTTTCAGTACAGTTACACGGCATCTCAACTTGAATTCAACGCTGTGGTGTTTGTACAGAGGCGACGACACCTTCGAGTGGACAGTGCTGCAGATCTTCATGGTAGGAGTGCAACACCTTCCCAGAAGGAAAACATAGAGCCTCACTTCCCTTGCTTGTCACAGGGGCAGGAGGAGGAGCAGGTTCTGTATAGGGTGCCAAGTTCCTGGATTGTTCTGTGCCCTATGGGGGTGTTTGCAGATGCCTCTGACTTTTTCTCCTTTGCAGTGACTTTTTACAACTGCTCTGTGGGACACACTGATTGTAGCCGATGCCAAACAGCTGACTCAAAGTACAACTGCGTGTGGTGTGGAGGTGACAACCCCAGCTGTATCTTCAGGGGCTCTTGCAAGGAAGAAATTGAAGACCTGTGTCCAGCACCTCTCATTCACTCTGTGAGTAATTTGCTCGCTAGTGTACTGCACCCGGGGCAAGGAGGGCTCCGTTCTGCAGTGGAAATCAAAGGGCTGTGAACCCAGAGTGCAAACAGTGCAGCTCGATAACACATTGGCCATCTGAAGAGCAAGGTGGTCCTATTCAATTGTGATCCCTCAGTGTTGTGAGGATTCTAGGCTGTTGTGCTGGGCTTTCAGTTTGCTGATAGAAAATAGTGGGGAAAGATGCATTTGTATCTCATGCAAGCTGAAAATGGTACACCAAGAGCAGAATCATTCAGGAGCTGGGAAAGGATCCACAGGATGGATCCTCCAACTGTCCCCAACCAGACCCTGAAACAGGTCGGCCCAACTGAGCCTGGGGCAAAGGAGAGCAAAACCTAATGATAACAGCACAGCAAAGATGGGAAAGGCATGAGAGGTTACTGGAATTAATTATTTTTGTCTGTTTATTTTAAATGTTTCTTGCTAACTGCCACATGACAAGTGTCTGTAGCCATGTGTCCCTTTTGCTGTCAGCTTGTCCTCCCTCCAGTGGCACACAACATCCATGTGCTGCATCTTGTCTTAGTTTATCTTGGATGCTGCTCAGGGACAGAGCTTTGACGTTTGTGCAGCATGCAATTCATTGTCGTCCTGATGCTGAGGGGGGAATGGTGCTTGCTGCTTCAATACTAGTAACGTGTATTGGCTTGTGCATTCCCACTCTTCAGCACAAATGCCCTGTGGAGTGGTCAGCATGTTAATGGGAAGGCAAAGCAGGGCAGTCTTTGCCTTCCAAGTGGATTATCACCTCTGGGTGGGGACTGCTGGCAACAGCAAGGTACGGGAAAGAAGGCTCCAACTGTGATGTTCTTTAAGGCCTTTCTTCTGGTGAGGCTGCGACCTGGTACTAGTCCAAGCCAGTAAAAAGAGTCAGTGAACTGAGCAGGCAGAGTTGAAGGGCCCTGTGCTGTAGATCAGTCGCCAGACTGCAGAGGTCTGAGATACTGTGACATTTACACATGCGCGGATGTCTTTGCAGGTGTACCCCCTGTCTGGACCAGTGGAAGGTGGCACTAGAATCACCATCACTGGCTCAAACCTCGGGCAGAAACATCAAGACATTGCAGAAACTGTCACTGTTGCAGGAATTCCCTGTGCCGTAGATGCTCAAGAGTATGAGATCTCTAGCAGGTAGAGTATCTGTGAAGCCTCCTCCCAGAGGCAGGCGCTGGCTTTTCCCTTGGCTGCTGACCCAGCCTGAGATGTCTTTGCCTTTGCTGTAGCAGATATTGAGCCTTGCCCATTCCCCAGGAAGTGCCCTGAGTAAGGTCTCTATCTGAGTAGTTGCTTAGGCAGTGACCTCAGAGGAATAAGGTTGTGTGCGAGGCGACAGCCAAACGGCGATGCCGTATTCCGACCGTGCTGCCCATACAGAGCCTGCAGTCCAGCCAGGTCAGGGAGTCATGGGCTCAGAGCCCTGCAGTTCATGGATGTCTCTCCCAGCCACAGGGTGATTTCAATAGAGCAAAGGATGTGGCTTGTGCAAGTGTCACTGATAGGGAAATATCCTGACCATGTTAACACAGGGTGAGGATGGGAACACGTGGTTGGAGGCACACCCCTATACTGTCAGTCTTCACTTGCCAGCTAGACTTCCACTGCCAGGAACAAACCCAATGAAAAGACCTTCTCGACCAGGGACAGGTGAAGGAGTCCTGGTGGGCCCTGTGCCACCCTTCTGGTCACCAGGAGTGCCTGGCAGGTCACACAATGCTTGTAAAAGTAGTGGCAAAGAGAGGGATGTGAAGCAGAAAGACCTGTCCTGCTGAATCCAGCTCATGTCAGTGATAGAGAACTGCATAGCTGGTGTGTCTGGCCAGGAGAGAACCATATAAGAAGGCAATAATTAAGTTTCAGGAGGTGTGATTTGGGGGACCAAGGAGAAAGAGATATCTGTGTATTTGGCCTGTGGCAGGGCAGGTAGGTGGGAGCCTTGGACCAGGAAGGGAGAGGAGCCAAACAAGCAGCAGGAGAAGAGGAGAGCAATTGTGAGTAATCTCTTGCCAGAGCTATCACAAATGTGTTTTCCATTCTGTGGTAGCAACAGTTGTAGCACCCTTCCCTCTAGGAGCCAGGTAAGATCCTGCTGGGAATGGCCTGCTGTGTCGAGCACTGTTGTCCTGTCTGTGTGCTTTGTTTGTCTGGATCCATCTGCTTTCTGTTTGCATCCTAGAATTAGAGCGTAATCTTCCTGGGGTTAGCACTGTCTGTGTTCTGTATCTATAAATCACCTGGCATCACAGCAGCTTGGCTTGGACTGCACTGCCTAAGTTCAAATTCCTGAGCTTCTTTAGTTGAGGGGATATAGCTGTGAAGCTGGAACCCACTCCTGAGCAAGGCCCAGACAAAATTAATCTCATGCTGTGCAGGAAGGCTGGGAAGTCTCCTGCAGAGTAGCTTTTCTGTTAGCAAACCAGTGCTGTAACATGGGATTCCTTGCTGCTCTTTTCTTAATTTAACTTGACTTTTCACCTTGTTAGCATCTCCCACATTAAATTATGTCTGGAAAAAGGGCTGGGAAGAATGGTTGGTGCAGATCAGGGGATCTGCCTGGTTCTAGAGGCCACTGGCTGAAGACCAGTGCCATCTGAACCCACAGTCTTGAGTCTTCTCCTGTATCAGACACAGCACTAATCTGTGCACTGACCACTGCTGGCCTAGGGTCCCTCCAGATGTGACTGATTTTGATCAGCCCTGGACAATGGCAGAGTTCTTGGACTCTTCATGCATCTGTATTACAGTGGATGTCATCCTGTCTGTCCCAGAAAGAACAATCTTAGATAGGATGGGCCTGTTTGGAACTGGCCCTTGCTTTTTTCTGCTGCACCTAATCCATCTTTTAGAGGTGTTTCTCGGTGTTTGGTTGTATATTCTGAGCATGAGATAAGGCTGGAAGAAGGGAGCAGTGGTTGCTGGATGGTTTGAGGACATGATGTCATGGATGCACCTCACCTGCTTTTCCCTGGTGTGACACTGTTCTTGGATTGTCCTGCAGTATCGTGTGTGTCACTGGCGGGAGCTGGACAGAGAGATTCGGGCATATTGTGGTGGAAGTGCCCGGAGGAGGACGAGGCGTTTCTGGGCATGTTTTCACCTATCAGGTAACATAACTGTAATACCTCCCCTGTGTTTCAAGTATCCCTGGTTGTTTGCTGTGTGAACTTCTGGGACTCTACCAGGCACTTCTGGTGTGGTGTGTGGTGTGTTGGGATTTGTTTTGTTTCGTTTTGTTCTCCTCCCATTCTCTCTTTAGATTATAAGAACAGCTGTACTGGGTAATACTAAAGATCCTGTAGTCAAGTGATTTCATAGCTTTTTTTTACAATGGTAACTATCAAATGCATAAAGAAAGAGGAAAAATACAGGGTATCTTTTCAGTTTGAAGATTTTTTTTTTTTTTATTGATGGCCTAACATCTTACTAAGACTTCTGACTTTGCTTTTGTTAATTTGCAAATGGTTGTTTGAACACACTTTTAGCTTGTGACCTTCAGCAGCTGGCAGTAAGTCCAGAGTTCCTGTGCGTTGTATGGAAAAATGTTTCCTATTACTTTTAAACATGTTTCTGTTAACTTTTTGATATCTTAAACCCAGCAACTATGAAATAATATTTAAGCAATTTTTAGGTACAATTATTCCTTTTTTGTCCTTGCTGCATAAGTTACAAATTATGTATCTAGTTGCTTGTCTCCCTCTCCCATAGGAAGGGGAGAGAGATGCAGAAAACTATTGGGCTTTTCCATTTTTGGCTCTATGGAACCTTATATATATACTGAACTATGCTGTTGCTCTTCTCTTGCTTTTGGTTCTGTTATCACCATTTTGAGGAACTGATGAGAAGTGCAAAAGGAATTTTTACTGTGACATAAAAATGTTTTTTTTCTTACTTCACTTCCCAGTAATTCCTACCACTTGGTGTGTTTTTGTTGAGATCTGTGCTTACAGCTGGTAGGGTTGTACAGGTACTAAAGCACTCTTGAATAAGCAGGAATTACTTGGAGACTCACAACTTTGTACATGTGGTTGGCTTTTTTTTCTGTAGTCTCCTTGTTCCTTCTCACTCCATGGATCTTGCTTTTTATTTATCAGAAGTGAGTTACTTGTGCCACCCTGCCTGGCTTCTCTAAATTTTGCTATATCTCCTCATTGGTACTAAGTTTTTTTGTTACTCTGAATAATTTATCAAATTTCATTTCCCCTTTCCAGGTCACTTACAAGTACGTTTAACAGCATAGGTCTCAACACAAATTCTCAGGGCTCCCTGCTGGTAATCTCCTCATCTGCTAGACAAACAGACAATTTATTTGCTACCTTGTTTTTCCTAACCTGAGTTATTAATCCAATTACTGATCTGAACAATCCCTTTGAACTGTTAATCCTAGGGTTTGTGTGTGAGGCTCACAGCTCTGCTGGTTGCAGCATCCATCTGCCTTTGGCAGTCTGTGGAAAGGTCCCGAATTCCTGGGTCTTGCTGGTGTGATTGATCCCTCCTCTGTTATCTCTGCTCTGTAAGGTAGCTGCTGGAGCCTAGCTGAGGCCTGCCTGTGATTGGGAACTGTAGCTTCTACTTCCAGAGCACTGGAGGTCACTGAACATATTCTGCTGTTTTCCTTTTCTTGTCTTGTCTTTTGAGGTCTTGTCACTCACTTCTTTTTTTTTTTTCCTTCCCTCTTCTAGAACCCAGAGCTGAAATCCATTGTTCCAACTCAGGGCCCCAAAGCAGGAGGAACCTGCCTTACCCTTCTGGGCTCAAAGCTGCTGACTGGGCATCCTAACGAGATCAGTGTCCTGCTTGGAGACCTCCCTTGCCAAATGTAAGATCAGTCCCTACCCATGTGCTGGCTGTGCACTGTCCTGAGTCCTTCCCAGAGCCCCACAGGGTGTGGTGCTGCCTGGCTCAGCCCTTAGCACAAGCAGTTGGAGTTCTGCTCTCCTCCGTGTTCCAGGGGATCTTCCCTTTCAGGGTCATGGCAACAACATTGACTATCTTAGATTCCTGCCCACATCCCTTGGACATGAGCAGTGCTACACACCTCTGTTCTGCATGTCTCTTGACAGGACTGTACCCCATCCTGACACTCTGCTTTTGCTGATGGGGAGCTGCAGTTGGCTCCTGCAGCCTGACCCTAAGAGCTGCTTGTTCTCTTGCACCCTGGAACATGTACCCCTGACTCACCTCACTGCTGGTGAGAAGGGGCACATGCCTTGGTAGCTGTGTCCAGTCTCTTCAATCTGGACAGTGACTATACCTGCTTTTTGTCCATACGCTGCTGCCTGACAAGTGCCCAGCAGTTATTGCTTGCTTAGATAAGGCACGAGAGCTTTCAGCAGAGGTTTGCAGACTGTCTGCAAAGAGAAAGGCATAGTACTATAAAATCTGTCTCTGCAGTGGCTGTGTTAATCCCTTGTTCTCTCTTCTGTCTCTCTAAGCCTCTCTGAGATGACAGAGGATCAGCTGGCATGCCAGACGAGTCCCAGCAATGTGTCCACAGAACTCCCAGTCACCATCAAATATGGGGACCAAGAGCGGAGACTGGAAGGATCCCTCTTCAGATATACTCTGGATCCCAACATCACTTTTGCAGAGCCACCTAAAAGCTTCCTCAGGTAGAAAGACTTGAATGCTCCTTCCCTGGGGCTCTGTGCAGAGGCAGGTACTCCAGCACCATCCCTGGGTGCTCCAGGCAGGTACTCCAGCACCAGCAGCCTCTGTCTGTTGAGTTGCACTTTGGGGTAAAGCCAGGCTTGTAGGAAAAAGCATAAGCAGAGGGGTGGCAGCATGGGCAAAGTGGAGCTAATGAATAACAGGTGGGTGAAATTAGCTACTTTTCTCTTTCAGTGGAGGGAGAGTGCTCAGAGTTCATGGATACAACTTAGATGTTGTACAGAAACCGAAGATCCGAGTTACAGTTTCTCCATCTGAACGCCGGCGCAGAGGAGCCGGACGATGGCGCAGAATCATCCCAGACTCGGAGTGCCCTGAGGATGCTCTGTGCAGCATCCAGCAGGTAGCATGGCAAAGTGCTCAGTGTGGATGTGGGTGCACACAGGTTGATGTGTCTGCTTCTGGACAGGTGGACTTTTTGTCCATAGGGCTTTTTTTCCCCCCCTAGTTGCTGTTACCTGCATGGATCGTATCAACAGTCTTGGCCGAGTGAAATTTTTCTTTGCCAGACTGAGAGGTTAAGCACTTTCACAAACCTTTCCATGGGTTGGGTCTGCTTCTGCTTAGAGATGTGCAGGATTGTGACGTGGGACAGAAATAGCAGGGCAGCAGTGTGGAGATAAAGGAATCTACAACTGAGTCAGAGAGCTTGTGTGGCTCAGCGTGTCTGCGCTCCAGACTCTTCCTTTTGCACAGTTCAGCCCATTCCTATAGTCTCTGGGCTCTCTTTCAGTCTGAGATCCAAAACCAGGCAGAGTTCAGTTAAATTACCAGTGCGACCAACATTTTCTACTCTCCTGCTGCCAGTCTGCTGAGTTGGGTCACCACAGAGGTATTGATGTGGTCACCAAGGTCACAGAGCATGCAGCAGAATTTCACAGAGGTAGAGGGTGTTTGGCAGCCCAAGTACAAGAAGGATTTGTATTACTAGTGCACATGATGGAGGGCTTCCTTTACATAAACTGAGAGAATGTGCTTCTGATGCATGTGGATAAATAACAGCTGGTTTTACCAATGTTCTTGGGAAAGCATTTGAGGCTGTAGGGCAGAAAAAACCCAGACTAATACTTTCACCAAATGTATAAAATGTATCCAGCCAGGCACGGGAACACTTTCACAGAGAAGCTTTCAGACTGGGAAATCAGCCTTACATTGAAGGTGTTTGGTCCCATTCTGTCAGAGCAGGGAGATCTAAAGCAGGTCTCTCTCCAAAATTTGCTGCCAGGGGGATATCAAAGCTGATTCTCAGCACTGAGACCTTCCAACAAAACCAGTGCTATGAAAACCTTCCTTAGAGGAACATGGGGAATTCCTCAGATCTTGGATTTTTCCCTCTACAGTTAAGCAGAGTTCCTCTGGCATTGTTCCAGATGAGAGGAATGCAGACTGGCCCCAGATTGCTCAGAATGAGAAGTATTGCCAAGCTGCAGGAGAAGCACTGGTGTTCCACTACTGACACTTTTTTTGCCTTTTACATTTAGTTTGAAGAGCCATGTCTTGTTAACTCCTCTTACCTGATCCTGTGCAAAACTCCAGCCATTAACCTGCTGTTGAGGAGTGTCCGTATCAAACTGGAATTTATTCTGGATAATCTGAGCTTTGATTTCAATTCACTGCATCCCATACCCTTCTCTTATGAAGTCAATCCTGTCCTAAAACCACTGAATGCTGAGGATCCTGCCAAACCATATCGTCACAAGCCAGGAAGTGTCATCTCTGTGGAGGTAACACAAAAACTAGCTGGAATTAATGTTTATTGTATGGAGTTGTTTCTAAGCTGAGTGTTTCAAATTGGTGTCATGCAGTATCCAGGGTTTTTAAGGCATTTGTCATGGTTACAGCCTGTCACAGCACATCTGCTTTGGCCTGTGAGAAATGGTACATAAGAGGAAGGAAAAGAGTGCATCAAAAAAGCCTCCTGAGCCCATAAAACATTGTTAAGGGCTTCATGGGGCTTGTGGAAACTTTTGTGCTTTTTTATTTTTAATTCTAGTAAACTATTTGTATATAAGATGTTAGTACTAAATTATCTGTACATCCTATTCTCAGCTGCTGGCTTTTTTGTACCTACTTCAGATTCCTCTAGAAGTAACTTAGGAGTAAAAGAATCTTGCCAGTAGGGAAGACCTTACTAGGTGCAGGCAGGAAAATCACTCTTTAAATATGACATGGAAGTGCAGAGTGGCTGCTGTTTTTATTGTACATGTGGAAAAAAAAATCTCTGAGTTTTCTTTTGTATGGAAAGGTACTTTCTAGTCCAACACTCATTAAGAAAACTGATGGCTACAGCTGGAGATGCAGTTTCTCCACTTGCTCTTTTTTGCACAAGTAAAAACTGTGAGGACGTACGAGTCTAGAAATGTCTAGACTGCTGCCATTGGGGTTTGAATGCACATTGGAGAAGTAGGGCAGTTTGAGAAGACTGAAAAAGAACTTCCAAAGAGCAAGGAGGTTGATCTGCCATCCTGTTGGAATACGCTGACGGAGCTGTGGGTTTAGAAAGCATTGAAACATAAGAATGTAATTAACATCGGTTAGCATGGTTTTATTAAAAAAAGGAGTCTTAAGCCCCCAAAACTAAAGCAGATAAGAGCAGTGGCATAGATGTGTTACACCTTTGCAAGGCATTGATTGATTCACCGGGGTGTATGGGTTAACTGACATGAGACTATCTTTTTAAATACATACACAGAGGGAAGAGTTGAGCTTAGCTGTGATGTGGCTGAAGAGCCTTAAGAGGACAGGCTATTTATAACTGTACTTATGCAGCATGCTACGGGTCCTAAAGCTGTAATCTAAACTGTATGCAAGTGAATTTTTTAGCTTACAAAATTAACTCCTGCAGCCAATTCAGATGTGAGCCTAATCAGAGAAGAAAAAAGGCTGCTTTCATCCCATAGTAGTGGTTTTCTCTGTCTTCTCTGGAGCCATGGAAATACAGAGTTGTTTTTTCCCCTGTTTTGATGTGCTGTTCCACGTCCATTGCAGGGGGAAAATCTAGATCTGGCTATTTCCAAGGATGAAGTTATGGCTATGATTGGGGAAGGAATCTGTGTGGTGAAGACTCTAACAAGGAATCATCTCTACTGTGAGCCCCCCTCCGAGCAGCCAGCTCCGCGGCACCGCACGAAGCGGGAGGGCACGGACTTGCTCCCAGAGTTCACGGTAGGGAATCAGCAGCACTACAAGAAATCCTGTTTCTTGAAGCACAAGCGGGAAGTGGGAGTGGGGTGGGAAGTGAGGAAAGGTAGAAGCCCTGGTGAAGGACAGGGGGGATGGCAAGGAGCTGCTCTTGTTCTCAACGCTAATCTTACGTGCCCAATGTTCCCTGAAAGCAAACAGTGTAGCTGGATTCAGTTGTGCTGTGGGACAGCTTTGCTGGGGAGCTGTGTGCCACCTGTGCCCATTCTGGAGAAGCCCTGTGACTTTGTATTTCCTTCCTGCACTGATCTTACATCGTGTCACACGCTTTCTTATAGGTACAGATGGGAAACCTGAACTTCCTCCTGGGCCGAGTGCAGTACGACACGGAGAGCCAGCTCACCTTCCCACTGGAGGCACAGATTGGTTTGGGTGTTGGTGCTTCCTTTGTGGCTCTGATTGTTCTGGTCATCGTCTTCATATACAGGTAAGAAACTCTGGCATTGTATAAGTTCCTCACAACATTTTTCAGTGGATGTGGCCAAGCGTGTACATCTTGGGCCTAAACAAGGTCTTAGTTCTCTTTATTTCGTGCCAAATTCTGAGCCCCTGATGGTGTTGGATGTGGGAGGCACCAGGCACCTGTTGGTCACAGCCTGCAGCGTGGTTTATTCAGAGCCCACACCTAATGGGTGCTCCAAGAGACACATCTAGTTTATGGAACACTGTTTGGCATCCTGCAAAGATGATGTTCGGTAGAAATTGCCTCAGCACCAACTGCCCTGGAGCCTTTGGCAGCAACACAACAGTTGGCAAGGACAGTCCCTGGGTCAGTGCCACTGGGAACAATTCTGCTTCTTATTGCAGGAGGAAGAGCAAACAGGCTCTGAGGGATTACAAGAAAGTTCAAATCCAGCTGGAAAATCTGGAAACAAGTGTTCGGGACAGATGCAAAAAGGAATTCACAGGTCAGTCACTGAGCTCCTAGGTTCTTGCAGCTTCAGGGAAGCTTAAGGAACCACTCAGCCCTACTTCTCTTCCCATTCCTGTGTACTTGTCTGCGTAACGCAGGGCAGGCAATACCTGCACCAGTGCATTGAAACATATAGCAAAATTTTTCCCTATTTTTTCTTTAATTCAGGGCACAATGATCTATACAAACCCCTCTCATTCTCCAGTTCATCCTCCAGACTCAGATGAAGAGCTAAAGGTCAAGGCAGCACTCTTGAAGAGATCTTAATGACAGCTACTAGCCCAGTCTCTTGCAGCCCATGTTCTGGGCCTGCAAACCTTGTACTTGAGCTGCTTACAGCTGTGGGAGACCTGGGGCTCTGAAGCTCTGCAGGTGACTCCAACTGTAATCCCAGCTAATGTGGGAAGTAGTGAGGAGCAGGAAGTCTAATACTCTCTACTGTAGGTTATGGCTGTAACCACAGATGTGTGCTGAACAGTGGCTTCCTCGTTATGAAACTGGGAGCCAGCCCTTGATTGGAACTTTCCTCATGCATTTTCTCCCACTGCCTACTCTAGTTTTAAATGTTCTAGCAATGAGACCCCCATGTGCCTCTTCCTGACAGGAAACATCCTTCCTCTTTCTCAGTCCCATCCTGCTGGCCCCGGTTCCTGCACTCACCTCATGCTCTGCACCACCAATTGCGTGATCCTGTCAGTTGTGTCAACCTCATGGGCGTTTCCTTTCCCTCAGACCTGATGACTGAGATGATGGACCTCACAAGTGACCTTGTGGGCACAGGGATCCCCTTCCTGGACTACAAGTCCTATGCAGAACGCATTTTCTTCCCGGGCCATCGTGAGTCACCGCTGCAAAGGGACCTGGACATCCCTGAGTGCCGGCGGCAAACAGTGGAGCAGGGCTTGGTCCAGCTCTCCAACCTGCTCAACAGCAAGCTTTTCCTCACCAAGGTAATGTCCCTCTCTCTGCTTGCAGCCTTCTCTGGCACCAGGGCCACGTCACTGCCAGCAGAAAGTGGGCAGTGTCTATTAAGGTTCATTCCTCAATAGCTCCCTGGAGCGTCACTTCTTCCAAGAGCCAGCAGCTGTAACTGCTTTGTTTTCAGCAGATTCACACACTGGCTTATCTCTCTCCCCACCAGTTCATCCACACTCTGGAAATCCAGCGCACTTTCTCTCCGAGAGACCGGGCCTATGTGGCATCACTGCTCACAGTGTCACTGCATGGGAAGCTGGAGTACTTCACTGACATCCTCAAAACGCTCCTGAATGACCTCGTGGAGCAGTACGTGGCCAAGAACCCCAAGCTGATGCTGCGGAGGTGAGTGAGCCAGCCATGGCTACCAGCTGCCCGAGGGGATGGAGCCTTTCTGTCCAGCTCTGAAACCCCCATGAGTAGGACAACATCGTGGCATGGGCTGCGGCTGTGAGACCATACATTGAATGGGAGGAAGCTGTAACAATGACACCCCTCTCTCCAGGCAGGGAATAGAGCAAGAAAGGTGTAGAAAGAGTAGGAAGCTGGAGTTGCCTGCCCCAAATCCTTCTTCTTTTGAAGTTGCTGTATACCTTGTGTTCAGGTACTAGGGCTCTGCCAAGTCTGCTGATCCCACTTCGTTGTTTAGAGGTCCCTGGGTTCGCGGTCAAGCCATATTTGGAAGCTAAACTGAGATATCTCCCATGTTCAGATCCCCATTAGCCCCTTGTCTGGTCCATCCTGAAGAAATTTCCCTTGTTTGGGAACTACTAGAGGCTTTCCTCTGTCTCCTGCTTCATGTCTCTCCTCTTCTGTCATTTGGTGCCTCCTTCAGGCTGAAAAGAGCTTTCAATAAGTGATGTCAAAAGCATTAACCTTACTGGTCTCTAACATCTTTTTTTTTCTCTCCCTTCACCCTGTATCATTATTTCGTGTGCTCTTTTCTCAAAGGGAGGAATCTTTATCTCCAAATCTCCCCCTGCTCTGCACCATATTCCTGTGACCAACCTGATGCTCTCTTTCAGGACAGAAACAGTGGTAGAGAAGCTGTTAACCAACTGGATGTCCATCTGCCTGTACGCCTTTGTGAGGGTGAGCTCTTTGTCCCGTTGTGGTGTAGAGGGGCCAACAGAGGGCAGGCAGCTACAGCTTTGCTTTGTGCCTCACTCAGCTGAAGCAGTGCCAGAGTCACCCTGTATTTCAGGGTGAGGAATAAGAGAGCTGGGCTGTTCACTGGGAACAGGGATGCTTAAATAAGCATTAATAGCACTCATTGTTTCCAGGATGTCTCTCCAGGTCATGGAGGGCTCAGTGCAGCTCCTTTATTTTGAAACACACTGACCATAGGCTGGTCTGTGCATGGAGAGGACAGATGCTGGTTTAATTCCTTTTCTTGGAGAGGGGGTGGCACTCAGATGAGTGACACAGAGGCAGAGCAGTGCTCTGGTTGTGTGCATCTCCCTGGTAGCTGACGCTTCCCTGTGCATGAAGCAGGAGCTGTTGCCACAGGCTCTGTCTTTGCCTGCTGTGGCTCAGCTGCTGTATCCTCAGTCTTGATCCCCCTCTGCTTGGTGTCCATGTTTCAAAGCTATTGGACTCTGCTGGGAGGAGCAAGCTGAATTTCTCTCCTTCCTTTCCATTGCCAGGATTCTGTTGGGGAGCCCCTTTACATGCTATTTCGAGGAATCAAGCACCAGGTGGACAAAGGGCCAGTTGACTGGGTGACAGGGAAAGCCAAATATACCCTGAATGACAACCGCCTTCTGAGAGAGGACCTGGAGTACCGGACTCTGGTAAGCACCAGATCTTCTGTCCTCTCTGGTATGACAGGGCTGAATGCCTCCGCTCCCATTACAGAGGTGGAAGTGCAGCATCCTGATGCTGTCTCTTGGGAGCCAGGTTTGTCCCAGCAGCACAGGTCCACAGTTGAGCAAGAGCTCTGCTAAATCTGGTGCTTTTGCCCTAGGCTGATAGGAACCTTCACCACAGTAATCTGGTGTATGTGCTGTGCTCTGTGTCTGGAAATAAGGGGATGACATTGCTGATGGTGCTTTGAAGCTCCTCCCCAGTGATGTTGAACTGGCTTCCAGCTCTTGACACAAGACTGAGAACAGGGTGTTTAACATTTGTAATGTTTTCTTTTCTGAAACTCTCAGTGAAAGGACGAGCTGTTAACTTGACTGAATGCCAACCACCAAAGGTGTAAATGTGCCAGATATAATCTTATCAGCTGAGTAGCTGTGACCTTTTCTTCCACAGACCTTAAATGCTTTGACACAAGCAGGAGTTGGTGCAGGAGGGGCAGAAGACTCCCAAGGGATTTCTGCAAAAGTGCTGGACTGTGATACCATAACACAGGTGAAGGAGAAAATCCTAGATCAGATCTACAAAGGGACACCATACTGCCACCGGCCAGACCCAGACACCCTGGACCTCGGTGAGCAGAACTCTTTGGTGCCAAAAATCAGTGAGGAAGTGGAGGAGTGATGGTTGGGTATCTGTGCACAGTGATGTTTGTTGTTCTCTGCTGGCTGTCCAGAGCCACTGACCTAGGATCTCGTGCTCTGGCTGGACCCAACAGGGCATGATGCAGGAAAGGGGCTGTAACAGCAAGAAGCAGGAGTTAGAAGGAGGCAGTTGGGTTCAGCCCATTCCATTTCATGGTGTTCTTTGCCAGACTCAGACCATAGCAATAGCTTGGGCAAGGAGATACAGAAAAAAAGTACAGAAAATGTGTAGGAGAGGAGGTGGATTTGAGTGCAGTGCAAAGATGCTGTGGTCAGAGACTGGCTTTCCTGGCAGTGAAGTCAATGACAGCCTCTCAGTAATCTGTCAGCAAGGGTTTTGCCCACAGTACTTAATGAATGGTAGAACTTACATTGTGAGGGAAACCACTGTTTTCCGTCTTCTTCATTCTTTGCTGTTGCTGAATAGTGGTGACATTTATAAATGAGAAGGTACTGAGGAAATAGTAGCTGATAAGAACTATGGGTGCATATTTGTCGTTTGAACCACCTGCTTGAAGAGTCACAATCTGACAGAATTTGTAGGAACTTGACAGGTGGAACCTGGGAGGCCATGAGGCCGCCTGTCCCCGTGCTCAGAGAGAGACTGTCCTGTGACTGCAGGACAGCATTGTTGCAGGCACTTGCTCAGGTTATGTTGTCTGTGAAATACCACGGGTAAAGGTTGATGAGAATCAGAGGGTGTGTAATGAGGTCAGCCAGGCTGAAGCAGATGATGCCTCGAATTAACACTTAATCTGTTCATTTTCTGTGTTTCGGTGGCTGTAGAGTGGAGATCAGGGCTGGCAGGTCATCTGATACTGTCCGATGAGGATGTGACATCTGTTGTTCAAGGGACTTGGAAACGTCTGAACACTCTTCAGCATTACAAGGTCAGAACTCAGTCTGCCATTGCCTTGTCTCTCTTCTCATCTTCCATCACTGTCATGCTCTATTTGTGGCTCTGGCTCCTGGTGGGTGGTCACTGTCAAAAGGCTGGACCTTTGAATACCTTCTCGTATTCAAATTAGGTTAATGCTGTGGCCTGAACTCTGACTTAAGCAAGCGCAGCCCTGTCCTTAAGCTGTGCCTGAGACATGGGCAGGTGTGGAGCTTGGAAGGAGATGCACAAGTTCACGCCTGGTGGCTGCTGCAGTGATGTGCTGGATCTGTTCATGTTCCAGTCCAGATCAGTTAGCAGGTGATGACGCACTGGCCTGCAAAGTAGCTTCTAGGAATGGAAAGAGGGAGCTTTTAATTACCTTGCACCAACATGTCACATGTTGCACCAATATGTCATCAACATGTTCTAGATGTAAATAATCTCAGTCCCTGAGTATTATCTTCATTGTACTTTGCAAGTCAGTTTTTTAATTGGTACAGACAAGATTTTCTCACCATCAGGAAAGACAGTGATGGTGCTCCAAAATTCCTCTTTCTGTTCCTTTTTCTAGTAATGGTATGGTCTGTTTTGGTCTACAAGCACTTGCCTGCTGTGCTGATGAGGAACACATGCCATTTGTTTTGAAAGTCGTTGTTTTGCTTGTGTGCAGGTGCCTGATGGAGCAACAGTAGCACTGGTCCCACGCCTGACAAAGCACATCCATAGGGAGAATCAGGATTACATCCCAGGAGAGAGTGAGTTTGAGGTCTTGTTCTCATAAAATGATTTTAGAGCATTTTAGTGGGATAAGTCTCCTGCCATAGCCCCAGCTTTATGCTGCTATAGGAGGCTGACACATGCTTTGGACCCTCATAGGATTGTCAGGAAATGTGAGAGCTTGGGCAGGTGAGATGAGAGAAAAGCAGAAAACTGTGAGAGCAGAGGAAAGCTGGTCTGGGTGTGGAAATGCAGGACAAGCACAATTCTCTAATTCTGACTCACCAGGGCTTACTGTAGTCTGCAACTTGTAGAAATCTTAATATCCTCAGGTGCTCGGCATGGGTCGGGGATGGGATGGTGATGGGATACCAGGCAGTTCCCTTACTGCCTGGCAGAGTAAACAGCTCCATGGATACCTCTGTGGCACGAGGGACAATAGCCACAGTCTACAGCTTAAGAGATTCGAATTGGATGTGGAAAAAAACCTTCAACAAACCCTGAAACAAACCATTGGGGTGGTGGGAGATCTCTGTCTGGGGAAGTTTCCAAGACCTTGAAGGTTTTGGGTGGACAAAGGCAACCTTCTAGTTGCTAGTGCTAGCACTGGTTGTACTCTGTGCAGAAGGCTGGATAGAGGCCTCCAGAGGTTTCTTCCTGTTTGTGTTTCTGTCATATTGGGAAATCTTGCTTCCTTGGGGCTCACCTGGCCAAGCTCCATTGTGAGAGGACCCACACTGATCTGTAAATAATTGGTTGGTTTAGAAACGCCAATGCTGGAGGATGCAGATGAAGGTGGGATCAAACTTTGGCACCTCGTAAAACCAACAGAAGAGCCAGAGCTTCCCAAGCATCGGCGTGGGAGCTTAAGAGATCGGGAGCGAGCCAAGGCAATCCCGGAGATCTATCTGACACGTCTGCTCTCAATGAAGGTGAGAAGAAGCACAGACTGTGTTGTGCTTGGGATCTTGCCTCCCTTCGTATCCCCTGGGAGAGATTGCAGGGATGTGTATGAGGATGAAGCAGCCCCCCCTACCTGCAGTACATCTGACTTCCCTCCACGTTTTGCTTTGCTCATGAGCTTCTCCCTGCCCTCTCTTCCACAAGCCACTGGGGCCTCCTTTCTGCAGTGAGTCTGAGGTACCTTTAGATGAGTGAGGGGAGGTCACTGAGCAGAAGAGGGTGACCTCTCGTTTGTGTGAGGCTTGGGTTGTCCACTCTCCTCTGTTCTGACTCTGTCCTGCTCGGTTCTTCACAGGGCACTTTGCAGAAGTTTGTGGATGACTTGTTCCAGGTGATCCTCAGCACCAACCGCTCTGTCCCTCTGGCAGTCAAATACTTCTTTGATCTCTTAGATGAGCAGGCCATACACTATGGGATTTCAGACCCTGAAACCATCCATATCTGGAAGACAAACAGGTAGGGTGCTCCTGAGGGCCCCAAAGGAGGCACCACTAATTTGCCTGAAGCTGATCACTTGCAAAGTGACAGCCACCTCTGCCTGCTGAGGAGGAGCAAAAGGGAGTGCAGGGCAGAAGAGCATTGGGGTAAAGAGCTAGTTTTGGTGGGAGAGTAAAGCTGAAAGATGCAGTAACACACAGGACATCTTTTGGCACTGTAGTTGCTACCTTTGCTGATGCCCTGTTGCACTTCTGTCTGCAGCCTGCCCCTGCGGTTCTGGATCAACATCATCAAGAATCCCCAGTTTGTCTTTGATGTGCAGACGTCGGATAATGTGGATGCTGTGCTGCTGGTCATTGCACAGACCTTCATGGACTCCTGTACGATAGCTGACCATAAGTTAGGGCGGGTGAGTACAGAGGGAGAAGGGAGCACGGTAGGCACAGAGAGTTGAGCAGTGCTGCCCCAGGAAGGCAATAATGTTTATGTTGCATCATGGAAACAGCAAGCCAGGCTCATTTTTGCTTCCATGTGCCACTGGAGAATAATGGGGACTCCTGGGAAGAGAGGAGGGAGGAGCTGGTTTTGTTTATCAACAAGAAGTTGTTGAGAAGTGCTCTTTATTTGCAGCTTAGAGCTACTTGGGGGACAGAGCTGAACTCTAGTTGGCTGTGGCAATCAGTAGGGGTCACAGGGTGCAGCTTGGGACATTCAGGGTGGCCATTAGAAAAACTTTCTACCACCACTACTCACCCTGTGCCTATGGTGGAACAGTCCTGCACAGGTCACCAGAGATGGGATGGGTGGATCTCTGGAGGATGTAAGGCATCAGCTATGCAAAGCTATAGCCAATGTGATCTCATACTGGTGATCACCCAGCTCCAAGTTCGAAGGCTGGACTAGGGATCCCAGACACATCTCACCGGCACATCTCAGGGTTCCTCAGACTGCATTATTAGAAGAGAGCCTGCTATTTGAAGTGCCTCTCCATGCAGAGGACAAAAAATTCCTGATCCTGAACAAATGACAGAAAATAGTGATGGTGTTACCTGCTGAGATTAGTCCACAGCATGATGAAGGAGCTTTTCATAATCAATTCTGGTTTTGGATATTCAAGGACTCTCCGATCAATAAGCTGCTTTATGCCCGGGACATTCCTCGCTACAAGCAGATGGTGGAAAGGTAAGTGATGGATGTGAGGAGGTGTAGTTTGAGCAGTGAGAAGGAGGAACCACACACTAACTGCCTGTGTACCACTGTCTAGGTATTATGCGGACATTCGTCAGACCATCTCTGCCAGTGACCAGGAGATGAACTCTGCCCTGGCTGAGCTATCACGGGTAAATAAAATTATTTCAGAAGTCATCTGGCCTCTCACCTGTGCATCTAAGAGAGAGTTATTAATGCAAGGATGAGAGATACTCCGGTTGAGTGTACATTTCTGCTCAGACCTACTGACTGTTCCCAGTGGCTGCTCTGCATCACAGGGAAGGCAAGGGCCCCTGAAGAGAAAAGTGTAGTCAAGGGTTCAGGGCAAGGAGTACATATGATTTTTCCTTTGCTAGGATCTGCTGGTGAGTTCCCTTTCTTGTTGCTTTGTGCAATGGGCACATTTCCTAATGAGTTGTGAGGACACAGAATTTAGATGAACAATTGTTAGGTGTCTCACAGTTTTGTCTCATTTCCTCTCTTGTACACAGAATTACTCAGGTGACCTCAATTCCCTGGTGGCTCTACATGAATTGTACAAATACATCAATAAGTACTATGACCAGGTGAGTGTGTGTTTTCAGCAGGTATGAACATGCCCTTCTCCTTTTACCATCCAAACAAAAAAACTACAAAACAATTAACAATCAAGAGCAGCCAAACTATTACAACACTGTGTATTGTTTCATTGGCATGTGTAACTCATGTCATGAGTAACACTTATCATTTCAATTATCACTTAACACTTTATCAATTTTTATCAAAGAGAGACAGAGGAAATCACCAAAAAGAACTTATCTGTAACTTGGAGGCTGTTGAGATTTCATGTACGCTTTTTTTTTTTGACTCCAATACTCAAAAACTCTACTTCAAAATGAAATGCAGTTAGTTCAGATTAATTTACTGAAGACTTAATTTTCAGGTGAGAAGTTTAGCGTTCTTTTTGCCCTGTGATGTTTATAAGTCATTAGAATTAATCTAGAATACCTATTCTGTGGTTAATTTGAGATTAATTACTACATACCTGCTCTGGACTTGAGCACGCTGAATTCCAGCTTGGGGCTCTCCACGGTGCATGGAATTGAGCTGGTTGAGTGTTGTGTGCTGGAGAAAGGCTGCCAGTGAGCTCTGTCTCGTTGCAGATCATTACTGCCTTGGAAGAAGACCCAACGGCACAGAAGATGCAGCTCGGATATAGACTGCAACAGATTGCAGCAGCTGTGGAGAATAAAGTCACAGATTTGTGACAGGCACAGACAGACTGCTCTCCCCTGGCTGAACGGGGACAGTGCTCATCCTAGTTTATACACAGGGTGTCCTGCTGCCATTGGAACCAGACTGTCCAAGGAACCTGCGGGTGACATTAGCAGGGATGGCCAAGGCAGTACAAAGTACAAGCGTCCTTGCATCTCAGAGAATATTTTTTTACAGCTTTTTTTTTTCTTTTTAAAAGCAAAACAAAACAAAAAAGGACAAACTTTGTTTTTTCCCTGGCAGAGACTGTTGCGGGGCCACACAGGTCCTTCCTACAGATGTTACGTGAATGTGCCAAGTTTCCAAACCACGTTGTTGAAGAGCCAGGTGACAACACCGAGCACTGTGTCTGTGGAGTCCATGGATGCCCTTGCCAGTGCTGGGACACTCCCTGCTGCACCTGCTCGCTTCAGTGGGGATCAGGAAGCTTTCCCGGGGCTGACTGTTGTGCTAACCTCTGTCCCCAGCTAGCGAGCACTTCTGTGGTGTCCTACCTGAGAAACTCCTGACAGCAATGCCCCTGCTTGTTCCGGATGTTGGATGTGGGAAGGAGATGTCCAAAGGCAAAGGTCTCTTGCTCCCCAGTGCTCTGGTCTCTGACAGCTCACGTGTGGCACCTGCTTGGCTGTAACATGCTCCCCAGCATGTGCGCTTGCCCAGGGGGCCACTGTAGATGAACAGCACCCCCTCACCCTTCCCCTCAGGACAAATTCAGCATGTGAGAGTTGCTGCCTGGCTTGCCTCGGTCTCCACTGACCCAACTCGGATCTGTCTTCCTGGTTCCTTGTGGTCAGAGGTTGCCCTGCTCTTTGGAAAAGCACAACAAATTCCTTGTGCCACTCCCCCTTCCTTCGGTGTCCAGCTGTTCTGCTGCTCTGAACTGGACTTGTAAATACCCTCAGAAAGTTAATGTATTTAAATGCTAAAGGAGAATGTTTAACTTTGTGGCTTTGAGACAAAGCTTTTCTTGGAGAAGTATCTCTGTGCACTTCTACTGACAAACGTCTGTCAGCACTGGAGCAGTTTTCTCCACTGCTTTGTCTGCAGGGATAACTCATAGGTGTCTCCGTTGTCGTACCAGCAGCTCGCTGTTCCCCATGGATCAGTTCCAGACTCTCTGTGTGCTCTTCTGTTAGGCTTGCCTTACACCTTATTCTCAGCTCCACTTCCCAAACTCTCCTATCATGGCACATACAAGAGTTATTTGGGGAGCTGTAAACTTCAAGGAGCTGTGAAGCACAACTGCGTTGTTCCCAAGGAGGGTCAGGTGTCCTGCAAATGGGAATGATTCTTGTATGGAAGGAGAGGCTGGAGCAGGCGCAAGCACAGTTAGTTGGCAGCTGTCATGGGGCAGCTCCTTACTGCTCCTTCCTTAGTTCCTCCACTTTGTGAAGAGAGTCCTCTGCCCTTCTGGGAGTTGATCTCTATTTATAGGGGTGCCCTACTCATTCTCTTCCTCCTCTGCTGCTAATTCCACACTGATGTCCTGCATTCCTAGGGCAGGTAGACAGGTCTGACTCCTCTGTCACTTCCCTGAGGTGGTGACTGTGTGGGCCAGGAGATAGCAGAGCTAGCATAGGGTAGGATCATGTCCCTGCCTCTCTTTACATTGCATATAGCAGTAATTCCAGGCCTGTCCCATCAGCCCTGTGGCTTTGTGCAAGGGCCGTGCAGTTGCAAAACTGTTCTTGGAGCAGTATAAAACAGGCTGATGCTGGCCTCTCTTCCTATACAGCCAGCTCTCCTGTGACCCTCTCTCAGCAGTATTCCCAGGTACTCTGTGTGCTGAGCATGACCAACATCCCTGTGTCACCTTCTGCTTCCATCCTGCTGTACAGAGCAGTAGGGTAGCTGGCTGGCTGCTGCCAAGCAGAAAGGGGGGGTCAGAGTTTGCCTCTCTTCCTTGAGGTGATGACCAGCTTGAGTCTTACTCCTGCCTGACCACCCATTTCCACAAAATTTACGGGAACTTAGCATCTCTAAAACCTTTGTCCTGACTAAATCTGGTTTAATTGGCCCCAGAAAAGCTGGGTGGAGGAAAGGATCGGAAAAAGCCAACACGATGCACGTAAAGCCCATTCCATTAGGAACTGCAGGAGACGATTCCCTGGTTTGAGGCAGGTGCAGGTACAGTGGTGGAGTAGTGTCATCCCCTTGTGTGTTGGTGGATGGACTTTCTGCCCCAGGCAGCAAAGCCTAGTTTTTGGCCTCTCCAGCTCACTGAGTGTCTGGCAGGAGCCACAGGCTCTCTGCTGGATTTCTGGCTCTGCAGACTGGTAATGTCTGCCCCTATTTTTGCAGAATTATCTCTGCACTTTCCCAGAACAGGGTGGCTTGAGGCTTAATTCTCAATCCACCTCACGCTGCCATCCACATCCTCCTTGCTTCTCAGTAGTGCTTCTGGATGTTGGAAGTGATCTGCTTTCTCCCAGTGTATCTGTGAAAGTCTGCTTTTATTAGAGCAATAATGAAGAGCTAAAAATAGAGTTAAACATAGGTGATTGACTTATTTAACATCTTCAGCTTGTCCTTGCATGGCTGGATAGGAGACACTGCCCGGCACAGGTGCAGTGAGGGTGGAAAGCTGGTAGTGCCCATCTCTTCCCATTCCATCTGTCCTCGGTGTTCTCGATACCAGCATCCTCCTCCCCTGCAGACGTGCACTGAAGGCCCCTCGCTGAGATCAACTTGGGTGTTTAGGCATGGCCCCTCTTCTCTCCGTCCATGCCCCTCTCCTGTGGCAAAATCCATTACTACGACAGGGTTCTGTTGCATTTAAATTTGCACAAAACAGGTTTTGTTATGAAATTCCCTATTGCAGGGAAGACTTATTTATTTATTCCTTGCGATCCTTCTAAGTTTTCTCCAGTCTCTGCCTGATTCCACAACCAGCTTGTGTCAGACACTCTGGAGATGAACGTTCCTGCTCAAGGACAGAGAATTCTCACTGGGTGTTCCCGTTTGACTACAGGTAGCAAGTTCTGTGGGCACCAGCAGGGAGAGCCCTGCCACCACGGCCAGTCCCCTCCTGCGGGATACGGGCACAGTGAGGGGATGTGGCTGCTCTAATGGGACCCTCAGAACAGTGATGAGTGGCAGGCATCCAGCTTTATTTAGTACTGCAGTCAGAGAGAGGAACTTGCTTCTGCCCTGGTCTGGGTGAAAGGCTGAGAACTGATCAGTATTAAGATAAATCTCCGTTAGTGTATTGAATGTCTCTCCTGTTGGCATGACGAAGCGTAGCTGGCACGCACGTGATGTAGATGTGAGAGCTCTTGCTTTCATCTGTCTGGTGGCAAATTTAGGCTGTACCTGAAAGGTTTTGTGTGTTTGTAGAAATGATGGCTAATTTTTTTTTAAATGAAAATAGAGGGTTCTCGGATGCTGCTGCCTCGGTGGAATGCCGTTTCTTTTTCAGGGTGTGCCCCAGTTGCAGCCAGATGCTGCTTTTTTTTTTGTGTGTGTGTGCCTTTCTTGTGGGGATGATTCTTTTGGTTTCCAGAACACCCAGGGCATTTGCTCTAGTCTTTTTCCCAGTCCTCTGTCCTGGTGACTCTGCTCTCTCCCAGCCTTGTGACTTGGTGTCTGTCTGTTAAGGTATGGCCTGACCTGCATTTATGCCCTGCCACACCTTGAGTTCTGCTCAGAGCACCCAAGGTACTGTCTTTCTCAAATTGGAATTAATAATTAATATAAAAAGCTTGAAAAAAATCTGAATTTTGTTACATAGTGTAATAACTGTTTGTAGATACTGTTCTGAGATGTAGGAATCTATTGGTGATATAAGAGGTTTTGTCTGTAAATAATCAGTTTAGAGTCCAAATGATTTTAATAAAGAGAATTCTTACACAATAATTCAATAAATTTTAATATACAACCTCTGTGTCATGCTTGTGTTGCATGATGATGCAATTACCCGGAATGTATTTGCCTCTTTTTTCATCCCAAGTGGAAACCATGTACTCCTGAGCACCAGGACCTGGGAGCTGTGTGAGGAAAGTGAGGCCTTTCCGTCCTGCCCCCTCCGTAGGCTGTGTTTCTTCGAGATAATCTTGTGCCACCTTCCACCTAGATCCCAGTGCTTCTGCAGTTTCCAGAGCTCAAATACCATCCCTGCCCACAGGAGGAGGCAGCCTCCCTCCACAGACACTCTGTTGGGCTGATACTGAGGGCATGTGGCAGCTCTGGCTGTGGTCTCCCACCATGGGTAAGGGTCGCTGAAGCTACAGTTTATGTTGGTCACTGTTGTCCACCAGCATGAGGCAGAAACCAGTGTTCCTAAATTACCAAAACAACTTAATTCTAAATGAATTACACAATTCTTCCCAGACAGAAAGCTGGCTCCTGGCCCATCTATCCTCTTTTCTTCTTCCCCCCCCACTTCCTTTACTAGCAGAGTTTTGGATAGAGTCTGCCTCTCCCTCTCTTTTAGTCCCTCCTCCCTGTACTCTGCGTGTTCTTGTTGCCTTTTAGGGGTCACACACCACTTGTCCCCCCCGTGCTGCCCTGCACAGCTCAGTACCCAGCCTGGTGCAGCCTCTGCCCCCTCCCTTGATATTTTTAGTGCGGGGGAAGGCAGGTGAGAGCGGAGGGGCACAGGCAGGGGGAGAACCGCTCTGGGAGGCCCCGGCCTGGGTTTGGCAGCCTGGAACTGCAGCAGAGCTACTGCGAGGCACGGTTAACCCTTCGCTGCGGGGCTGAGGCTTGGTCTCTGCAGCCTCAGCCAGGAAACCTGAGCTGTGTGAGCCCAGGGCCCCAGTGAGGGGGAGGCCAGACTATGCCCAGCTCCGGTGTGAGGCTACGGCATGTGGCAGCGGGGGAAAAAATGTGATTTTTACCGTGTGTGGCCTTTTCCTCCCCAGTGTTGCATGGTGCTGGGATGCTCGGGTTCCCCCAGGGCTGCAGGGAGGACGTTACTGCAGTTGCTCTTCTAGAGACAGGAACAGGGGAAATGTGGGCTCTGTGGCCACCAGCACCATACTGTGATGGTGTTTGGCTGCATGTGGGCACTGCTGGGGAGGGTGAGGTGCCTCAGGTCTGGCAGTGTGGCACACAGGTGGGCTGTGCCAGGCACAGGCTGGGGATGGCTGTGTCAGGTAGATGGTGCTGCAGTAGCAAGTTCTGCCGACATACTGGGAGCAACGGGAAGACTGAGGCAGCCCTATGTTTTCTGGATCTGGGGATGGTGGAGCAGAGGGGGAGGATTTCTCTGTTTCCATCTCAGTAGAGCTGTGAATTTCCCGCTATAAATAGTTGCTGTGGAGACTCTGGATCCACAGCAAACTGACAGACCTGCTGCCAGAGAGGCAGGGAGAGGCCAGCAGTAAAGTGAATCCACCGCAGCTGTCTGAGGTCTCCTGCTATCCCAAAGCCAAAGTTGTTCCCAGAAGCAGTGCTGTGATCCGATACTCTGCCCCGCTCCTCACTGCGTCCATCCAGCGATGCACAAGAGTTTGGTCTGCTAAAGGACACCCCTCCCAGGGCAGCACAGACTAAAAGGAGAGCAGGACCAGCTGGTATCTCACTTTGGGAAGCTCCAGAAGGAGCCAGATGACAAAGGGAGCGGCGTGCCCTGCCCTTGAGCTGCTGCACGGTGAGTCTGCGCAGGTCCCTGGGGCTCAGCGACCCGCGCGCCGACGGGGCTGCTTGTACTGCTTGTACTTGTTGTGACTTGCAGGGATGCTGCGCCCAACAAGGGCTTGTAGGTCTGTGTTGGTGCAGAAGATGAAGGTGTGTGTTTCTCTGGTGAGCTCTGCCACTCTGGATGTCCAGGTGTCATAAGGCATGACCGGTGTTGGGGAGCTCTGTGTGCCGTTCTGTGCAACTCAGGTGGAGGTGTCCAGGCCAGAGGTGAAGCATCATCGCTCCCTGTCCATGGCTCTCACAAACCAGGCAGAACCAGTTTTTGGGCTGAAGTTCTCTGAGCTAGTCCAGGCCTGCAGCAATTCAGTGGGTTCTGCACAAAATAATTTGAATGACAAAAGCAAGATATTTATGTATTTAACATAAAGGTTAATGAAGGACTTAGAAGCACCAATTGTCCTTTATCACAAAGCCTAGAAAAGTATGTTTCCCTCTCCTGTACTAAGTTGCACAGCAACACTCTTCATCCTTTGCCAGTACTCCCATCCAGTTAGGGTGGATGGAGGTAAAGCCTTGCATGCCTAAGAATGGACTCGTCTTGTCTTTGCAGCAAGAAGGGCACCAGGGCCCAGTGAACTGCCCAAAAGGTCCATCAGCCCTAGTGCTAGGATGAGTCTTACACTGACTATCTCTGGGTCCTATTTTCTCACTGAAGTCTTTCCTATTACCATAACACTCCACTAAGGGAAGATGCTGTTTAACTGCCATCTCTCCAAGTTCATGAGTTTTCCTTTGACAGGTGAATAGTGAGTGGCATCATTAAATCTTTCCAGCTGTTCCCCAGCTCTCAGCTCAGCCCCTGCTGTCCTCGTGGCATGAGTGAAGAGGGCTTGGGCAGATAGTGATGGTGCAGGACCTTGCAAGGATACTGCTAGTCTTTTCACAAATATGGAAAATTTTGATTTCAGCTCTGTTTCATAGCCAAGATGTTATCAAGTATTTGCTGAGAAGAGTGGCTGTGCAGACATGCAGCATGCTGGAGGTTTATGCCTAAAGAGGCTGATTCCGAACAGCGTAAATGCCAGGGTTAGAGGTGTAGAAATGTAAGGAGGGGGAGGCATTTTGAGCTCCTTTCAGACTTCTTTATAGCCTTGAGTGAACAGAGCAACGTCAGCTCTGGCACTTTGGGTTGTCCCTGACAGGATGGGAGTTTTGAGCCCAGTCTGACCCTTAAATAAAACTGAGCTGGGAGCCTACTGGGTGCCCAAAGGCAGGCTGTGCCTTTGGCTGCTGCGCTGGGAGGGAGCATCAGCAGGTGGAAAGAAACTTTAGCATTTTGAGGAAGTCACGCCTCTATCTCAGCACCTGGAAGAAAGTACTCCCTGTCATGTGGCTCCTGCTGCCACCAGCACCACCAGCCCTCTATAATTATTTCTGAAAATCCTCTGGTTCAGAAGAGTTCTTAGCTTAAGCAACCGGATTTGGAGGATTTAAAGGTCAATAATTCTACCTGTGCTAATGGTCTATGGGGATTATTATCACCTGTCTCGAGCTCTGACAGTGTGTGTTAGCCTGAAGCTTTGGCAGTACAGCAAGTGACATTTCCGAATTTTGAAAGGCTGGGTTGGGAGTGCCCCAGCTATGGCAGTTTACATCTGTATTGCATTAGCAACAGGGGCTCTGGGCTGCTATTTCAGAGGACCAGTGCTGAAGCCAGCTCTACACTGGTGCTGCAGCGTGGGGGGACAGCAGCTGGATTGGTCTGTCTGTACTGTCTTAGTGTTTGCACCTTGGGCTGTCATAGTAACAAACCCCGGGAGCAGCCTCTTGCTGGGATGTCACGAGATGGTCAGTGATAAACTCATGCTCTGGCCCTGGGGCTGGGCTGTGGGCAGAGGAGCAGTGCTGCAGTGTCTAAAATGCAGGTTCTGCTTCACACCCCTCTGGAGCTGGGGGCTCCTCCTGACAGCCAAAGCCCAAATGCATTCCCTCCTCAGCTGGAATGGGGAGGGGATGCTTTCCCTGACTGTGGGAGGGAATCCCATAGACCCTGCTAAGCCCCTGAAAATCCATACTGGACACAGGGAAACCTGAGACTCCCACCTGGCCCTGGCCCAGCCCCAGCCTGCCAGCTTTCCTCTTCTGAACTCTTAAAATAATCCCTGTCTCCATGAAGTGCCAAAAGTGTTTTTAAAGCCTGGTTCCAGGAGCTGGTGAAGGGAATGGGAAGGAAAGGAGCAAGGGGGCAGCAGGAGTAGAAGAGGGAATCAATGTGCACAGTGTGCAGCAGAAGTACAGCTGCTCTCCAGCTCTCTTTAAAGGAGTAAAGTGCTGAAGATCACACTGCCTGTTCCCCACAACCTGGTTCCCCACTGCCTCCATCCCCTCGTGCCAGGATCTGCTGCACTGCTGGGCCATGGAGGAGCAGGTGCAGGAGGAGATGCCGCCAGCCCAGCACACAGGTCAGTCCTTGGGCATGTAGCTCTAGAGCTGAGATCGTGCCAGGTTCTTCCCAGGCCAGAGGAGGTCACTGGGACCTGTCTGGCTGTCCTTAGCTGCTCCTTCAGCCTAAGAGCATTTAGAGATGTCACTGATGTCTCTTGGCCATGGTCCCTGCAGGAGGCCACCACCCCGTGCAGGAGGGAGAGGTGTTCAACACGCGATACCAGGCACTGCGCGAGCTGGGCTGCGGCGCCTTTGCCACCGTCTGGCTGTGCCAGGACATGAGGTGAGGGGTGAATTGCCTTTTGGGGAGGTGGGAATGGGTGGCTGATCTCCTGGACAGGACCAGCCCCTCTTGCAGAAGCAGCAGAGCACAGCTGCCTGCCTGGAAGCATATCAGCATCCCCGGACAAAGGGAAAACCTGGCAGAGAGATCAGTGGGGTGCAATAAGCAGAGCTGGTCCCCAGAAACCAAAGAACATAAATGAGGTGGGATCAGCCCTTGCTCTGCATTTTATTTTCTCATTTAGACCCTGCAGTATCCATGCTCTGCCTTTTCCTCTCCAGTCCCTTGCTGGTTCCTGGGACAGCTGTGCTGCCAGATGCCAGCAGAAGAGATGCCCATGGGCCTGGCGTGCTGCAGACTGAGGCCAAGGGTGCTTGCAGAAGGGCAGCACTCTCCCTGGGAAGCCCAGGGCTGGGTGACTGGGAGAAGGGGAGGTGCTGCATGTTAGGGCCACTCTGACATGTGTTGGCTGGCAGCTGTGGTTCATTTCCCAGGAGGAAGAAACAAGTAGCTGTGAAGGTCCTGAAAAGCAGGGAAGGCTTTGCTGATACTGCCCAGGATGAGGTCACT